CTCCATCTTTCATTTCAAACTGATGCTCATACCTTTGCATTGCTAATATTAACTCTCTTGCTTCCCCATAATTGATACAACGTTGATTTCGGTTTAAGATGATTACAACCGTTTTCAGAGAAAGTCATACATTCAAATGATTTTGTTATATTTTGTTTGTCGATGAATCATGATATTTGTGTAAAGTTAATATAAATGTATTTGGAAGAACTTGTTATTCATATTAATCATGGGCAACTGCCTTATATAGACATTTACAATATAGAGATAAGCTTAAACTAGATTCAATCTCTATCTCTAATTAAGATGAACATTATCCTGAACCTTGTCTAACAATTTGATTAAAATCCCCCAATAAAATAAGTAAATAGGGTTTCGCACGCAATCAAAGCGAGAGTGTCGTCCTTTCCTTGGTTATGGATCTGCAGGTCGTCGACGATAACAAATCTGAGGAACCTTATCCCAATCTGAAGTTAGAGATCGGTAGTGACGGTGAGTGGGAACGCGATGAGATGTCGTCCGGTGAGGAGGAACCAGATGAGATGTCCGTTGAGGAGGAGGAGTGCGATGAGATGTCCGGTGGTGAGGAGGAATGCACTGTGATGTCGTCGTCTTCGTCTTCGTCGTCGTATTATTATTCGAGCAGCGAAGACTCCACTGGTTACACTTCGGAGGATACTCGATTGTTCGACGCAGAATATAAGAGAAGCGGGGTAATTAACGATTACAATATATATTCTTCGATTGTTTGGATTTTGTTTGGAGGTTGAAGTTTTTTTTTTGTGTGAATTTTTGAAAGGCGTACGACTTTGACCCCGAGAGAGGAGGAGCCATTAAGGTTTACCATCGTGTTGTCTTCGAGAACAGCGACTATGCCACAGCACCGGAGACCGACGGAGAGCTGGTTGAGCGATTATCTAGGGCCGCTCTTGAGAAACACAATGATGATAAGGTTTTGTATATGTTAGTTTTGATTATATATCTACTCTACACGAATGGTCGATCTAATTAGGTTACTTAATAATTATGTTTCAAGAACACAAGTCTTGAGTTTGTGAGAGCTGTGAAGGCTAATTGGAGTCTTGGAGGGGGAAACATTTTCTCCATCACACTGGAGGCCAAGGATCCACGCAGTGAGCCCATACCTTTTCACGCGACGGTTGTCTACGTTTCAAAGAGTATAATGGTCATGGATGTCAACCCTAAACCATGAGCAGATACGGTATGATCCGAGATCTTGTGAAGAGTACTGCTTCTTGATTTTCTTGCATTTGGTCTTCTCTCCGGTTCAACCAACCTTTTAACTGTATTGTTCAATGAAAAACTTTAAAAGAACAACCTGAGTATTTGCTATTGTTTCAGCTGTATTCTCAAGTTGCATAGTTGACACAAAATTTGTTAAATCTGCCTGCTATTTTGCAGATTGACTGGAGTCTGGAGACCTTTTGGAATCGCAGTAATAAGAAGTTGTTCCTTAGTAATGACATGCTACTAAACTTTATAGTATTATGTGCAAGCTTTTTTACTGGGATAAACCTATGCTGTTGCGACACAAGTCATGTGTATCTCTTAACTCTTGTTGCCAACTCTTGTTGCCATGTTTTGTTTGGTAAGCTGTTTTTTTAACTGCTTGTGGCTTCTATCTTTTCTTGTGCGTGAAAGTCAATGAGAAAGTTAAACTCATATTATGAAAAAAATTCAAAATTCGACTTTTTTTCTTGACAACTAACTCCACAGCTGCCCAAAAAGCCGACCTTTAAGGATTCCTCCTCCACCACACTTTTGATCCTCTTCCCCAACTTTTCATGCTTCTCATGATTCTTCTGCAAATTAACCTCCTTTTTATCCTCTTCTTTAAATGATCATATGCTTTACTCTCTTGATGTAACAAAGTCGTTGTCTTTAGTTGCTGAAGTTGATGCCTTCTAGTATAAACCCACCAAGTAAAGATCTGGCCTTTTCTTTAGTTCTTGATTATCTGCTGATTTGTCAAGAAAGTTTCGATCTTTTGTCTCTGGGTAGTGAGATTTCGAGCTAATTCAGCCATGGGGAATTGCTTAACTAAGAAATATGGGTTGGTGATGAAACCTCAGCGAAATGGGGAAAGATCAGTCGAGGTCGAAAACAGAGGAAGGAGCACACACCAAGATCCGCCGGAAAAATCCACCGGAACGAATCAACCACCGCCGTGGCGGAATCCTGCGCCGCCGCGAAGCCCCAAAGCCACGACGAAACACGGTGCCTCCGCTATACTCGCGAAGCCGTACGAAGACGTGAAACTGTTCTACACGCTGAGCAAAGAACTGGGTCGAGGCCAGTTCGGAGTAACGTATCTGTGCACGGAGAACTCGACGGGGAAGAGATTCGCCTGCAAATCGATTTCGAAGAAGAAGCTCGTGACGAAATCGGATAAAGAGGATATGAGGAGAGAGATTCAGATAATGCAGCATCTGAGTGGACAGCCTAACATCGTCGAGTTCAAAGGAGCTTACGAAGACGAAAAGGCTGTGAATTTGGCGATGGAGCTTTGTGCCGGTGGCGAACTGTTCGACAGGATTCTCGCAAAGGGGCATTACAGTGAGAGAGCAGCTGCTTCTGTGTGTAGACAGATTGTGAATGTGGTCAGCATTTGTCATTTCATGGGAGTGATGCATAGAGACTTAAAGCCTGAGAATTTCTTGTTATCTAGCAAAGATGAGAAAGCCCTCATCAAAGCCACTGATTTCGGATTATCTGTTTTCATCGAAGAAGGTAGTAGTAATCTTTCGAATTTCTGTAATCACAATGTATTCATCTTCAAAGTTTAGTAGTGATCACTGTCTTTGTTAATATTATTGCAGGGAAAGTGTATAAAGATATAGTTGGGAGTGCATATTACGTTGCTCCTGAAGTTTTGAAGCGTAGATACGGTAAAGAAATCGATACTTGGAGTGCTGGAGTTATACTCTACATCCTGCTTAGCGGTGTACCTCCTTTTTGGGCTGGTAATGCAATGTTTAAATATCAGTTTTTTGATTCGTATATCTTTGAGAAGAATGTAGCTGAGCATTGTTTGTTGGGGGGTTGTGGGATGTTAGAAACGGAGAAAGGGATATTTGATGCTATATTAGAAGGTGAAATCGACTTTGAGTCCCAACCATGGCCTTCGATTTCCAACAGTGCTAAGGATTTGGTTCGTAGAATGTTGACGCAGGATCCGAAAAGACGAATCTCTGCTGCTGAAGTTCTTGGTAAGCCAACAAGGCTTTTTTTTTCTCAGGTGCTGGTTATGAAGAGTTTCTTGCATTCACAGTTTTGATTGTTGTTCTTGTTTTCACTATTTGCAGAGCATCCATGGCTAAGAGAAGGTGGAGAAGCATCGGATAAACCTATTGATAGTGCTGTTCTCTCAAGGATGAAGCAGTTTAGAGCTATGAATAAACTAAAGAAGCTTGCTTTGAAGGTTAGAGATCAGAGATTCTTAGCCTTTGTTGCTAATGTTGACAGTGTAGTGATCAATTTTGAAACAGGTCATTGCGGAGAATATTGACACGGAGGAGATACAGGGCTTAAAGGCGATGTTTGCTAATATAGATACAGACAATAGTGGTTCAATCACATATGAAGAACTGAAAGAAGGATTAGCTAAACTTGGATCAAAACTCACTGAAGCTGAAGTGAAACAGCTAATGGATGCTGTAAGTGTTGATCAAAAGACTTACCTAATCTTCTGTTTACTTGAAAGTTTAAAAAAACTCATATTCGGTTTTTTTTTTTTTTGGGTGTGGTTCAGGCTGATGTTGATGGGAACGGGTCTATTGATTACATTGAGTTTATAACAGCAACAATGCATAGACATAGGCTCGAAAGTAATGAAAGCCTTGACAAAGCTTTCCAGCATTTTGATAAAGATGGGAGTGGGTAAGTGTTGATACTTTTTTTTTTTAAAAGCGAATAATAATAAGCTAAGCCTTGCTTTGTAATGTGTTTAATAGATACATTACGATAGACGAGCTAGAGGCTGCGTTGAAGGAATATGGAATGGGAGATGATGCTACAATCAAAGAGATTTTGTCTGATGTCGACGCTGATAATGTAAAGCAAATTTTCTCAAAAAGAAAAAAATAAAAAAAGATTTATCTTTTCTTTCTTAAATCTTCATTTTTGTTTTTCTTCTTATTAACAGGATGGTAGAATCAACTATGAAGAGTTTTGTGCTATGATGAGAAGTGGGAATCCACAACAACCAAGATTGTTCTAACATATTTTATTTGTCTTATTTATGTTTTGTATCTAATCCAGAAAAAAAAAGACAGAGAGTTGTATCAATGTTGTTCAGGCATATTCATGAAGGACCAAACCATTTGTAGTTATACAAAGTCGTAGATGAGATCATACACGGGTGTATTTAAATTAACTGAGTTTTGTATAAACTTTTCTGCAGAATCTGTTAATATGTCAAAATCTAGCGATATGGGCAAGGGTTTGAGGTTCCTTTCCACTGCAAAACATGGCGTTAAACAAGTATCCATTCGACAGATCAATATGGTAATTTGGGTTTGAAGAAGAACGAATGGAAATTAAAGTGGAGCCCTTATCTTAATTCTCTCTCTTTACCAAAGTTGAGCCAACAACATTTACCAACAAAGGTTGTTTAGGTTGAGAATCATGAACCAAAAAAAGAAACTGAGATAAATGAAAGTGGAGAAAAACGAAGATGACAAAAACAAAGTTAAGCACCTTCCCTTGAAACCCCATATGCAACTTAAAAAGTCTCGTCCTTACCTCAACTGTACCCATCAATACCTCTCCCAAGTCCCAAGCTTGCTCTGTATTTAATGAAGTGTGGGCATAGTTCTAATCTGAGCTAGGACCAAACCATATCAATAAATTTTTAAGAAAAGGAAGAGACTGTTGAATAATGCAATGATACATTTATATATAGATTTTCTCACATACAGATTTTGTTAATATGTCATAATTGTTGTTGGCAAAAATGACGTGTGAGAGAATGTTTGCGATCAGGTATGCGCTTTGAGGTCCATTTCTACTTGATGAATGGTCCACTGCATATTTTCCAGTTTCTGCAAAAAAAAACATGAAGTTCTCATTATCATTGTGTTATTGCATCCTCACAAGTCAAATGATGAACAAAAAGGAAAACATAATCATCTTAATGGTTTCATCATTTTTGTAATAATATACCTTAACAATGTCATGGTACTGTCTCGCAATTGTATCAAAATGCGGATCTACTCCTTGATATTCTCTGAGCCGTGTAACCTGGTCATTTCGCAGGCTCTCGGTTAATTTATTATCGGATATAATCAACGAAGATGCGGCAAACCGCTATGATAGAGAGGATAAGACACAAACCGCTTTGTTGTATTGAGCTGAAGCTTCCTCTGTAGCCTCGACTAGATAATTCCTGCAGAACAAAAAAATACGAAAAGAATATTAGAGGTGAGAGCCTGATTCATGAGTTCATGGTATGAAACATACTTATGGAAAAATGATTTCCGCACCTGATGCTGTGCAAGGCTGGTATGGATTCAGGGGTGTATGTCTCAAGTAAGAGAATATGTTCTAAAACCCTTCAAGGAGAAAACAATAAGGTATATTAATTTGCTGCAATAGCCTCAAATTCAGATACTAGACAGTAAAGGATGAGAATAATACCTTAATTTTGCGTTCATGGTCTCACACCTTTTACACAGCCAAGTCTTTTGCATCTCATCCTTCAACAATATATAGGTTGAGGAAAATGAGAACAGGGCAGCAATTGAATCGATTGAAATTGTTGAAAAACACTGAGACGGCTTACATATTTGTGTTGGTGTTCTAACTTCAGATCCTTCACAAGCTTTATAAGTACCCCGAGTATTTGTTCCAGGACCTTATTCAGAATAAAGACGAACAGCCATCAGAACTTACTAAGCACTAGGGGATACAGATACAATATATAGGCAGTAGCATGGATAACATGTAGAAACTTGTCTATAAAAAACATTTTATGGAATAGCCAGGTAATTGAATTTTCGTTTTGCATTCTACAGTATGATATGCCTTTTCACCTACATTGTAATATTCTGCAAACTTCCTGTCAGCCGAGTAGAGGTCCTCTCGCAGAGCTGCCTCTTCTCTTTCAATCTCCTCAATTATAAACTTTACCCTGAAAATGCAAGAAAACATTGTCATTGACCGGCGCTATAGAGCATAAGAGGATGGGTAAGTGAGAGAAAGTCATCTGGTCCTTCAAGACTCAAATAAATGATATAGCGAAAAAAAATACGAATCACCAACGACATAATTATTTCTCTATAGATATGATACTTTTAGAAAGGCTTTTATTTCTTGGCTTAGAACTACCATGTGTATACATGTATGACACATCACCTAGATATATATCCCTAGAAAGAGGAGTAGCTAACAACAGTCTTCATTATAATCATTATAATCAAAAATCAGATTAATCTGATTTTACGGTGAGGAAATTCAACAGAAATAAGAAAAAGCAAGTTTTTTTTCTTCCAGATGATTGTATCCTTAGTTAAACCAAAGCGATAGAGCTAACCTTTCTGGGAGCCTAGCACTTGAATTCTGATTTCCTGTTGATGAATCTGACATTTAATAGAGAGAACAAGAAAAATATGATCATCAAGTATTACATTAGACAGGAATAATGAAATTTGGGTAAGGAACAGAAGACCTCTCCCTCAGAGTATGCTGGTCATGAAGATCTTACCAGTGTCATCAACAATGGCATCAGCCAACTTATCACACTTGTCCTTCAATCGACCTTCGATCTCACGGGCAAGAAACATTTGGTAGTCAGCCATATCCTACGAAAAGTTATCAAGCAAATAAAAAGAATTAGACCCCCACAGAGAATTCATATCCACAATCTTTCATAAGAACATAAGAATTGGTGCTATCAACACAATGTAGTTATGAAGAGACTAAAACGAGGCAGAATATGATCTCACAGTACCATTGACATAGTATTCTGAAGCTGGACATAGGATAGATAAGCAGGTGTTATCCCAAGAAAGCGATTCGGGACACCACCAACTACGTCAGTATCAGCAGCACTAAGACTGGTTCCACCAGCAGCGCTGTTTGCTGAGCTATTCGCATAGTTCACCGAGTTGGAAGTGGAGCTGATTGTAAAACTCGTGCTTGCACTATCAAGAGAGCTTCGTGATAGTATACTCCACTTTTCGATTTCTTCCTCGTGAATTTCACCATCATCTGAAATAAGAGGTAGCCTCAGTTTCTGAGCTGCCTCAGCAACCACCAACCTATGCTCTAGAGTCTCATAAACCTGAAAAGATCAAGGATTTTGCTCAGAAATGAGTCTCGAGATAACAAAAATCTTGTAAGGTTAAATTCCAAAAAAAATTAAAAATCACATTTTGGATTAGAAACCTGAGGAGAGTTCTTCAAGCCAAGTTGAGGGTAAAGACCCTGAACATCCCGAATTCCACCATGGTTAGCCACTGAAATAGCTTGCTGATATTCTTCTACCATAGCTACAGCTTCACAATAGATAGCCTACCAGTTGTAAAAACACACAGAAAAATCAAAGTGAGTCCTTCCCAAGCTAATGGAGCATGAATTACAAAAGACAAAACCCTAATTTGGAGTAATCAGCTTCAACTTGAATGAAGACCCTTAAATGAATGAAACCCAGAACAAATCCGGAAATTGAAGGTAAAGAAGAAGAGATAAAGCATTACCATAGCTTCCAAATACCGCAGTCTCTCCCGAGACATCTCTTCTCTAGCCTGAAATGTCGAAACAATAAGACTCGAGTTTCATACGCCAAAGAGAGAATTAGAGGATTAGGGACACAAATCTGAAACCCAATGTTCGTAGGAGATGAGAGGGAGATTACGAGTTGAAGATCGTAGTAAGCTGATTTGGTAACAAGAGATCCATCGGGAGCCAAGCAGTGACGCTCTAACTGATCGATCAATTGGTTGACATCCGCCGGCAGATTCTGAGCCGCGCCTTGCAATGCCTTCACCATTGAGTTCTTCCCGGCGAGATGAATACGGCGGCGATAAATGCCCCAATACGAGAATGTGTGACGTTTCCGGCGAGAGGATCTGCTTCGATTATAAATTGCCGCGACGGTTGATTCAAAAATATATTTTCCGGCGCTCTCGATCTCGAAGTTCTCACTTGTAATTTTATCTTCACTTTAGAGAAAATCGTTAAAATGGAGAGAGAGACTGTGCAGCATTTTTCTCTTGAAACATATTTGCTAAAGTAACTCCTAACTTTAGCGAAATCACATAAATAACACCTATATTTGTTTTTTGAACATTTTTTTATAACAAAAAAAATTTCTTCTCTGCTTAAACTCATAATTTGTTTCATACCTTTAAGATCAGAGCATGTTAACATGTTTTGTCTCCACTGAGACTTGAGATTCGAACTTATGACCTATAAAACTCTCATATTTTAGGTGAAGATGATCAACAACTATAACATTAATTGAATTATTGACACTACCTTAACTGATTAGGCATTTTTATACACTAATTTTGCAGAGATCATCACTTAGTTATGTAGGAAGACTTTAGCATAATACCGGGTTTAGTAACGAAATTTTGGCGTTTTGCCACACAATCTCTGTATCAGACCGTGAAAAACTTAGGATCAGATATGTCTTGTTGTGCTTGAGAAATATGATTCGAGTAACAATCATGTCGAATACGAAGTCCATGAAAATTCCAACGCAAAAGCTTAACAATCTCTAATTTAATAATAATTACGCTAATTGAGATTTAGGCATCGATCTAGGAAAGTTTAGGATCTAGCCATATTAACTTCGAATACCACAATTTGACTTTCTTATAATGCATTCTACTTTTGTTTCTTGGATCGTGACATTTGCTGGTTGTTAATTTGTTAAGCAACTGCATGATTTGTGTTATTCTCCTTGTTCGATTCCATTTAGTTTATAAGAATTACTCTAATATACTAAAAAATAAAATAAAAAGTTTATTCGACAAAAAAGTAAGTTTTAATTCTGGACATACCACTACTTTGAAAAAGTTCCAAAGATATCACTAAAGTTTAGTCTAGTAAGAGTTTTTAACAATTATAGTAGTAAGCCTTGCTAAATTATTTCGAAACATTTTCTAACCGTGACCCTTTAGTAACACACAAATTTGTGGTTGTACTGTTTCTGAGAATTGCCATTAGTATTCTTACAAACAAAATAAAGAGTAAGTTGATGATGCATTATTAAGTTAGTACCAGGAGATATTATATTGATTCATCCATAGTTTTGGGACCGAAATAGTGTAAATCTCGTAGCTACCAAATTAATGCAAAGACAACAAAAATCTGCCAGTAATACTCAACAAATATATATATATATATATATACACCGTTTTTTCCTAATATTGAGATGCTTGTGTATAAAGAATAGATGAGATATCTCGACGTTGAAACCACAAACAGTAAGTATAATTTTTTTTCATTTTAGCAATATCAAACCCAAACAATAACGTTATATGATAAAACCATATTGGAATACTGGTAAACATACCAAAGTTTACTAAAGGAAAACTAACTAATCACATATATCACGCGTAATTACACAACCCGTAGACACAAAGCTCACCACTCAAACAACTATGGTTACATTTCCCACAATGTCTCTTATCGTAAGCCAAGTAAACGCACTCTCCACCACAACAACTTTGCGTGAAGTTGCATTGGTTCTTACATGCACCACAGTTATCGTTATCGTACGCCACATCAACACACTTGTTGCTACAACACGCCATTGTGGAATTGTGCGTTCCTTGACTCTTGCATATCTCCTCGTTCTTGTTGCAATGATCTAACGCGGTAGTGTCACGACCGCTCGCGTTTTCCGCTAGGAAACGGCTCACTCTAGGAGGCTTCTTCGTAAGCGTTTGTGTTTGCGTTTGCATATGCATTTCTGTTTTGTTGTTGCTAACGAACATTGTAGAAATCAATACAAAGATGGTTATGGAAATTGTTAGAGATATTGCCAAGATGATATTCTGAAGCCCCATCACGTTTTTTTTTGGTCGTTAAAGAGAGAATAAGAGAGGTGGAGAGATTTCGGGGGCGTGAAGAAATGATTGTGAAAGACGAAGGAAGAAGAGTTTATATAAAGTTTGACGAGTCGTTTATTTTGTAGTAGCCACATGTGGTGGAATGAGTAGAGTACGTTCAAACAATTCTTCATTAATGTTGAATATTTTTTTCACAAAGTCCAAAAAATTTGTAATTAGTTTTCCAAGATTTTTTGACATTTTCAAGTTTATAAATAATTCAAACAACCCGTTTCTTTTGTTTGTTTTGTAGCGTAAGTTTGTGTATTTGTTTAAGTCTTACTGATTATTCTTCCTTAGATCCAATTGTGAACGAAGCAGGAACGAAGGAAGCAGGAACCATATATGTATATTTAATATTAGAAAAGCTAATTGCCCAGTATATTTTACTATTCTTTCTTCATGTCATCGATTGTATAATTCAGTATTAGATCAATAACTACATATATACATATCTTATGCTTCTAGGGTTCAAGCTTAATTATAAACACCTGACTGAAAATATGATAGTATAGCCACACAATAAACAAAAGTAACGATTCTAATCTAACTTCTTAGTATGGATAATTTAATCGATCGATATAATTCATGTATCGTATAAAAAAGTGAGTTCGATTCTATATATGTTTAGGCGAAACTTCTAAACCAATAAAACGGCATATTAAAATTTTGACAATATAATTAAAATACTAGCTAGTGTGATACAATGTGACCTACTTGATCGAGTTATATATGCTGAAAAATGGAAAAATAATGAAGGAATATAAACCGGCTATTAAGGAAGAGCCAGAATGTGACCTTAAAAGTGTGGTTGGACGAGAAATTAAAGGCATGCTGTATGGTGAAGCAACGTTAATCAAATCCCTAATATATAGATTAATATTGAGACTTTCATTCCAAGTCTTGGTACCCTCTCGTACACCGTCGGCCGAATAATTATAATAATTGTTCTTATTATCATTGAGTGTTTCATTATAGTTTAAAGCAATCTTTTTGTGCTAACATTTCAACATTACCGTATATATATAGGTGTGCTTGTATACGTATCATGTAGCTAGCTACTAGAGTACTAGGTATATTACCTAAGTTTTGCGTGTGGTAATACATACTTTAAGTGGGATTGAATCAACCAGCTACATTACATGCATGGGTGTTGTTACAATGTAATGTAACCAACCCGAAATCGTTACTTTAGCTGCTACATGTACAGATAACAGATGGATGATTGACGTTTGTGGACTCGGTACAGATATTATAAATACTACTATACTAGTACCGGGTTTAGAGAGACTTAAACTATAGGATAATATATGGTTTTGAAAAATAAAAGCCCTAAGAATTATTTTTATCCATCAGCAATATAATGCATATTCAAGTTGACTTTTGAATACCCACTGTAAAAAAGAAGACTAATTAATTTTATTCTACTATCCATCAAGTCATCAACCCAAAGTGCATCCACAACTTATTGGGTTATAAAATTAATAATCAGGTTGACTATCAGTAATCCAGGTGGTTGAATTAACCATATTAAACTCGGAAGATCTTCTTGTTCAAAGTATTTTTTTATTTAGTATATATATATTTGACCAAAAAAAAGTATAACACAGTTTAAAGTTGTTAAAAGAATTTTCGTATTCAAGTTAGAGCCTTGTTCAACTCCTCCACTCGGTAACTTGATTCTCATTATGTGGTTCTATTTCTGGTTCTTTGGTAACTAAATGATTGTCTATAGTTGTAATATTTGGGCTTCCAAAACTGGGCCACGTTTGGGCTCTGTAAACCTTTTATTTCCTTCGTCTTTTGTTTCTCCACTCGGTCCTGATAAATCGGCTTTAGACCAAACGAAATTAAAAATAATTCAGGTTGGTTTGGTTCGTTCGTGGGTTATAATTTTATTGTAATCCAATTTGATTTTTCCTTTAGACGGCACCGTTTAGACGTCTTTCAGCGTTTTGCTTGCCTCAAGGCAGAGGGAATCGCAGATCGTTCTCTCTGGAGAGACGACGTCTACCATAAATCACAAAGCCATGGAATTCGAATTCCGGCGTCGCGACTATGGAGCTGAGCATGAATCTCGACTCCTTCCTCGTTCTCGAGCTCACAAGCACCCTCTTTCCTCCGCACTTGATTCTCGTCAACCACAGGTCTGCGATACACTTGATTTGGTTCCCTTTGTCCAATTCATTAGACTTCTGATACTTCATAGAGCTTAAACGATTAAGGGATGTTCGAGAACTTCACTCTGTTTGTCTAGTTGGAATGTTTTTTTCTTCTGCTGAATGTGAAGCCTTATCTGCCAAATCAAGTGCTGTTTTCCATTTCTGTGATTCTCTCTTCGATTACTTGAAGTTGGTGGATGTATGGAATGCTAGTTAACTAGATTGCACACTATAATCTTGTTCTTGACATAATTATGATTTTTTCGTTTACGCTTAAATAATTGAAGCAGATAATTGCATTAAACGACTTGAGAAATCTTACTTAATTGAGTTTGCAGGCTAGAACTGTCAGAGGTAGCGATCTTGACTTCTTTGATCCATTGAGGGGATTGGATGTGAATGCTTCAGAAGAAGAAAACGTTGAAGAACCTTCTTTATCAATGGAAGCTGTAACTCAGGACCTCATAAAGGAGTGGAAATCTCTTAAAAGAATCTTGGTGCAGCGGTTTCCTGTCTCCAAAGTGATTTCATTTTCTCCAGTTACGTATATTATTTGCATAAAGTCTTAGTCTTTGTTTAAGAAGATCATTTGGTGTTTCCCTTATTCATCTTGTCTAATTTATTTACCCATCTTCTACAGATATCGAGTATAATAATGAAAGGTTCCAAAGGTATGGTGTCTTCGACATGCCTAGTAACTTTTCTTTCTTTCTGTAGCAGCATCGTATATTGTTTTCCGAACTCGCATTGTAATAGGTCCTTTTCTGCTTTGCTCATTCAACAGTTGAAAACCCTTCCACTCTTTCACATTTAGACGAAGCAGGCAGCGAACAAACTTCTCTGGAAGAAACTGCCAAAATCATCAACCAACAAGACTATCTAGCCAAAGTACACGAGCTAAGAGATGGAATAACTTGCGCTTGGCAGGCTGAAGATCGAGTAACATCATTGAAGTTATCGATAAAGGTAAACTTGTAACTAATCAACTCTGCTTTGCTACAAAAGCTGGAAAATTCGTACGCAAAAGAAGTTCTAAAGTGGTTGTGTTTTCTGTTCTTCTATCATTAAACGTACCATTTTTTGGCCATATGATTTGAGTAGTTAGAAATCATTCATTAGATTGAGTTATCCGACATAGAGCCGTGAAAAATATATAGGTGATCTCGTCGTAATCGTAGATAAGTTTTGGTAATTAACTAGATTATAAGTTTTAATATTCAATAATATGTTCCTTTCTGTAGGTCACAAAACTTCTGATGGACACAACAGTTTTGCAGTTTTATCCTACAGTCTTTGTCATTGTCACTGACATGCTAGATATGCTTGGGGATATGGTGTGGGAACGGATCAAAGAGAAAGCAGAACATGATGTAGATGGAACAGTGATCTGCACCTTATTGAGTATGCATCTCTATACTAGTTCTGTATTTCTATCCAACAAAATGTAGTGTCATCGAGCATGAAATTTCGCAATCTGGGAGTCTGTTCATGATCACAATCAGACACATTACTTTGTAGCACAAGATGCAGTCTTGTAGTTGCAGCTTATAATTTTTTTTTGAACTTGTGCTAAAGACAGATGATTTTCAAGCAAGTGATATCTGCCTCGAAGCAAGAGAGACTTGCTATAATTGGTTTTGCAAAGTTGGTTCTGTACGAGAACTTCTCCCTCGCATGTAAAGATTCTATCAATAATTCTTTTCTTACTCTGCTTACCTTATTGTTTATCTTATTTGTGGCCTTTGTTATCTGGCCATAGTTACCTGGAGCTTGCGATTTTACCTTGCTGGCGTTTCCTCATTAATCAACCCGTGGAAGTTCTTGATCGTTTAGTCATGATGGTGAGAGGTCTTGCAGATCCACTGGCATCATTGTATTGTCGTCTTTATATGGTGCATCGTATGCAGAAGTTAGGTTTCTACAATTCAGGTACCCTTATTCTATGCTCTTTTTTTTCCAGGAAAACGCTAGATAGACGAATATGGAAGAATCATAATGGTTTGTTATCTGCTGAACAAGCTTGGCTTTCTTAATCAAAACGATATACATAATTTTACTTTAGTTACACTTGCTTGCTAGTTATAGAAAAGAATCCGGATCTTATAAGTCAGTACTTTCCTTGTCATGAGTGAATGGTGTTTGAAAAGAGTAGTGAAGGCTGTTTGACTTAGTTGTAGCACAGGGGGATTCTCGTGAATTCTTCCATCATGACTAAATATCTGTGGATGAAGTGTCTCCTATCTTTTTGCTTTTAGTGTTATGATGCATAATTGTAGGAACCTCCAATTTGAGAATTTTGAATGTAGCCTTTTACATGCAAACGGTTAGACTTCTTGGAGCTGTTTTTTCTCTTCCTTGAGGGAGACACTTAATGTCGTAAGTTTGGGCGTGATATAACAGGATATCTAATCAAATGCATCAAGGATATTGAAGATGTATTGGCGCCTGTTATAGTGGACACGGACGGGTTTTCCTATATTACAGATGACAAAAAGTTGCTTTTTAGCTTGATGGAACCACCCATTGAGTATATATTGAAATGCTTATTGCTGACTGGACGTCAGGTTAGTAAATTTTCTCGACCAGTTAGTGACTGGAAGCATTGCTCCTATCTTTTTTTGCTGTTGTTTAGAACCCAATTTCCAATGAGGTTCAGTAAATCACTTTTATAGTTAGTTTGGTATTACGATTTATACTCTCGCAAGTTTTGAAATTTCCACAATTGCTGGGGGGAAAATAAATGCATGCCAGACCTTGTTAATCATTTCCGTGATTTGTGATGAATTGATTGTTCTCCTAAATATTTGTTTGTGTACAGGAGAACATTGTCGAGGGGATTCTTGAGGAGCTTGGATTTGGAAGGAATAAATCTTACTCGTCCACCAACTCGTCACATGCGTCCATTTTACTTCATCATCTACTCAAAGAACTTCCATCTGAATTAGTTAGTTCAAAAGCTATGGAGATCCTGCATATGATTAAATGCAGCAATGATTGTTCCTTTAGTCAGGTTGTTTCCTCATTTCAGATTTAATAAGCTATGCCATCCATTGAGTTGAGTCTAACCCTTCCTCTTATGTTGTACTGCTTTGTGGAGCAGATTTTGAATTACAGGTTACTTGGAAATAGATTGTATGAAGGGAAATCTCAAGCAGGTGTTCTCAGTTCACTCATCGATGAAGTTATTCAGGTTTTGGTGTTTCCTTTTCCTTTCAACAAAATTAGAAATTCATTTTCATAGATTTTCAATCTTTATTGTACACCGAAAGATGCATCTTAATTTTTCCTGAATAATGATTTGCATAATGATATGTCAACAAAAGTTGTGGTAAAGAGAAAGGTGGCGTGAATATTGCAACAGGCTGACATTTAGGTGTGACTATTGCAACAGGCTGCTTCTCAGTATCATACGCTGTATGACTACTTAAGAATTATGGACGCATATGTGGACCTGTTGTTGCAAAACAAGATGGTGAGGCTCGAGTGAATTTTTTTGTACATGAAAATCTTCTGATCTCGTTTCTCTAGATTTCAGTTATCCGTTTTAATGGATTCAGGAAAATCATCTGGATGCTCTCTTGGATGATATTGTAACTCTAGCTCGCGACAAGTTTCTTTCTGAAGAAGAACAAGCAAGCTTGCAATCCATAATTTTGAAGCTGCTCTCTTATTTTGAGGACTTGCAAGAAGTACTTTCTCTGGTAATACTTTCTTTCTTCTTTCCGTTATCTACTTTCAGGTTTTAAGGAAACAATACGCAGCATCGGATAAGAGCCGTTGTCTAATCCCTTGGATAATATCATTATATACTCTCTAATAATGACTTCTTTGGTTACCTTGTAGAATCATTTCATCGAGATTTTGGATCTAATGTCTGGAGCTTCAAAGAGAAGTGTTAATATGCATCTTCTTAACATGGGTACTAGGTAAGGCTTGTTCGTTTTTATCTGGTCTTAATGTGAATACAAAAATCTCACAAATACTGGATGATGCACATAAACCATTGTAAACCGTTGTCAAGATGATGAATTGGAACAGAGATCAGCTGAAACTGCAAATTTAAATAGATACCAAACTCCTTTCAAGATATTTCGGATCCTATTTTGAGGGACATGTATATAGTTATGGTCCTTAATGTATCAGTTTTCCTTTTTCTTTCTTGGTAAAGTATGACCGTTTCTTTCCCCTTGGAGCAGGAACGGCTGCATATGTGATCCAGCAACAGTGCAATTGCTTTTCGAAGTTTCTCAGACTCTTTATGATGCTACAGATTTTGTGAACATAAAAGATGATGACAACCGACAAACAGCACATTTGATTTCTCGTTTTGTTGAGATGGTACCTAAGTTCCACTCACGTTATTACGAAACCAATGCGTACTTCCTCTTTTGGGCCAAATTGGTGATTTTGACTTCACTTTTGATGTGTAGGTTGATTATGGGGCAGAAATGGAACGCCATTTGATGTTTTTAGCGGAGTGTCGTGAGGCCTTTAATGGGATACATGAACTTAAGGTCAGCAAACAGTAATTGTTCTTTGGTATCATTTTAAAATCTTGATACTGCTATACCTATGGAGGACCCTATATACTCCCGGTCTTGTGCGTTTTTTTTTTTTATTTCTTAGAAAGAGTTCGATTATGAGGTAATTAGTTTATTATGGTGCATATATGCTATCTAGTCCTTTCTTGTGTAGTCATGACTCATAGTTAGCCTTAAATTTGAAGACCAAGCAGCGATGTAACTGCCATCTGGTGCATAATCCAAGTGGTACATGATAAAACAACTTATTTATATGGTGGGCAAGTGCACATGAATTTGCAACATAATATGAATTTGGTGAATTCTCTATAAGTTACCACAAAATTTGGCTAGATATCATATGGTACATTTATGAGAAGAAGGAGCAGACATAATGGGAATAGAGGAGTAGAATATTATATATGAAGTATTAACTATTGAGAGGCAACAAGGGTAAACAATGCTTCATATGTGCCTTTTTCCTTGCTAATTGCTATGGGTGTTGTATTTTTTGTTTATATGCATTAGAGCTTGACACAAACAAAAATTATTAAAATTTTGCTTGGCTCAAAGTTGTGATAATTTATATTTTGTTATGGTCACTGGCTGCAGGAGACACTTGTCCGTTCAAGCAACACGTTGGCTGTAAAAGCACTAAAATCAGGAAAGAAGCATATACACTTTGTAAAATCTTGCCTAGCATTCAGCGAAGTTACCATTCCATCTATTTCAACTCCCACAAAACACTTAAATCTTTATCTCGAAACTGCTGAGGTGTGTCTTTGTCTTATTTGTAGTACCTTTCACTCAAAAGTCAAAGTATAAACGTACTGAAATATGTTTTAAAGGTTGCCCTTTTAGGTGGTTTGATTTCTCATTCCGATGGACTGGTCAGGTCAGCTGTTGAGTGTCTAGAGAATGTAGCGCCTACAGATGGTGAGTTTATTGGTCTAGAAATGTTTAGTTTAACTACTTGGGACTTGATTAACAAGTGAGAAGTAATAAAACCAGTCTGTTAATTGTAGCCTCCCTAAAACCAGTTACTGCGAACAGAACACTTGCTTTAAATTTTATAGCTAATTGACGATTGTAAGGTTGGTGGTAGGCATACACATCTACTTATCAAGTCTTTTCAATTATAGATGATTATCTTTGTTCTTCGTCACTCTTCGTAGGCTTCATTTTTTTTTTCCATTTCAGTTCATTAGGGACTTTGATTTTATTTGTGTAGATAGATGTATCTGCCTTATCGTTCTGTAAATGGATATGCATCTGATATGTTGATGGTATAATATCTTGTACATTTTTTCTCTATCAGGTTTAAAATCAATTGATGCGGACAGTATGGCCTCCGTGGTATGCAAATTGTGCAGCTTCTTGGTAATGGTCCCAGGTAAATAATGGAATCTCGTGGATTGCTTTAGCTCGTAGATATGCACATGATTCTTTCACCAAATTGCTTTCGTCTGTCCTTATTTCTTCAGAGCTTCATAACTGAGATTTTTTCCCGTATATTCAACTGGAAAGGTAATCCTGAGAAAGGCGTGATGGAGATCCTTAAGAGCATCTTTTCTGCTACTTGCTCTAGTTCATGGTATGTTTCTCCGAAGGACTATACTAACCTAGATGCGCATATTGAGTACGCAAAAATTGACATACATTCGCTTCTCTGTACTCAGTTTGTTTGTAATGCCTTTATTGTTTTGCTTATCTCTTACGTGTAACCGACCCTTATGCGTTTTTGGTTGTGTGACAATTGGTGATGTTGTAGGGCAATGCCGAGACTGAAGGTGAAGATATTCTGTGCCATAGTTTTACTCTCGTCAACACTTTCTCAAGATAATCTTCCTTACCGTTCTGCCAATCCAGAGGTATTACTATGCCTTAAATGGCGCTCTCATCATCTTATTACATGCAAAGATTTGTTGAAATTGTCGAAATCTGGAAAGTCTGTTGTCTGATGGCTGAATTTAATTGTACTTATATTTGTGTGCAGATAATTGGAAATGATATGCTGTTCTTTGGTGATGCATCATACAAGAACGAACTTGTCTCGTGCTCTCAGCTAGTTCTACAAGAACTTGTAAACGCTATTGAACAAGAGTCTTCGCAGGTAAAAGTTAGTTACTACCCCACTAGTAAGAAACAAATTTTCAATTTTTGTCATGCTCTCAAACTAACTCGAGGTTATATTATTTGCAGATTGCTCGCGGGAACATGGCTCTTGAAGCTTGCAATTGCATATCATCAGCACTAATTGTACCGTTTTTTTGTTTTCACCAAGATTTACATTCTTTTCCTTCTTATTCCTGAAATTTAAAACTATTATTATTTAACTGGGTTGGTAACATTTTTGATGATATGCAGATGAATCAGAAAGTCTCACAACTTTGCTTGAGACTAGTGGAAATAGCAAAAGGATGTTTGGGTGACAAGGACAGGTACCTCGAATCCACTAAGAAATCACTAAAATTATGATACATTGTGTTTACCGAATGAATATTAAATTGTGCCCGTGTGACATTGTCGAGTGTTAGCGGTTTCAACCGCATGAGTGTAGTAATGTGAACCGCGTCTTTACCGCGTTTTACGGCGTCAAGCGTTTTCAACCGCATTTTTAATCTCAACTGTGTCCAAATCGCGTCTTGAACCACAATTTTGTTTTTACATTGGGTTATTATAAAGGGCCGTTGTTATTTGATGGGCCGAGATATGTCTATTTATGGGATCCAAGCACGAACACCCTTGATTGTTTATTATTATCTGCCCTCTTGTGTCAATAGATACATCTTTTGGAAGCGATGTATATAAGTTACTGCAATTTGATCAGCAAACATACATTAAATGGAAAAATGTCGAACCAAATCAAGTGTATCAACGAGTTTATTAACTTGATCTGATCAAGTGGGATGTAATTTTAAGAGTATAAAATCATCAAAAGATATGTGGCAGATGAAGATGGTTTCCATCGAATCGAATATTCACACGATAACCTAGGCATTGACCTGTCTATTTTTAATCTTCAAATCGTTTTTCTCGCTTGTTAGTTGTTAGACGAGGTCATTAATTTCGTAAATTTGCTCTACTACATAGAGATGAAACCTTTCACTCAAAAGTGAATCTAAGAGATCAAAACCAAACATGAATCTAAGCTCCATGCTCAAGGATCTAGAGGAGTTGACATGGAATGCGAAGCAAATACAAGACAATGTCTTGGAGGAAATACTCAGAGTTAGCTCCAACACAGAGTATCTTGGACGGTTTCTCCACGGGAGCTCCGATAAAGAGTTGTTCAAGAAGAACGTACCTGTGGTGAGCTATGATGACGTTAAGCCTTATATCGAGCGTGTCGCAAACGGAGAACCCTCCGATGTAATTACCGGTGCACTCGTCACTCATTTCTTCCTAAGGTAAATTACAAGAAAGTAGATTTATCATATGATTAATTTAGGATACAAGCTGAATTTTAAAATGATGAAATGTTATGTTTGTAATCTTGTTGGTGCGTGTAGCTCTGGAACTACAGGAGGGAAACAAAAGTTCTTCCCAGTGAACAACATGTTCTATGAGAAAATGCTATTCGTAGCTGCTCTACGCACCTCCATTATTTACAAGTAAACTCTTCATATATCACATATTCCTTTTTTTTAAGTGTTTTTTTTGTGATTTCCATTATCAAGAATCATATTTTTGTTTTTGTTTTAAAAGGCATATCAAATGTGTCAAGCAAGGAAAGGAGATGAAGTTTCTTCACACTAGACCGATAACCACAACTCCCTCTGGTTTGCCCGTTGGTCCTATGGTGGCGAGTTTCTTATTAAGCAGTTATCTCAAGAACTTGTCTTCAGAAGGTTATACTAGTCCCGACGAAGTCATATTATGTCCCGACGACAAACAGAGCATGTACTGTCATCTTCTATGTGGTCTTGTCCAGAGAGAAGAGGTCGCAAGTGTCTCAGCTACTTTTGCTTGCAGCCTAGTCCAAGCGATCACTCTTCTTGAACATCACTGGAAAGAATTGTGTGATAACATCCGATCTGGTCATGTTAGCGACTGGATCACCGACCCTAGTTGCAGAGACGCTGTCTCCGCCATTCTTGGAGGACCAAATCTTGAACTGGCAGATCTGATTGAGCATGAATGCAGTCAAGAGACATGGGAAGGTATCATCACACGGTTATGGCCTAACATTAAATTCATTCAATGCATTGTTACAGGACAGATGAGCCAATATATTCCAATGTTAGAGTTTTACTCCAACAAATTGCCTCTCATCTCCCCGATGTATGGCGCTTCTGAAGCATTGTTTGGGATAAATGTTGATCCTCTATGCGAACCACAAGATGTGGCTTATACATTTTTGCCCAACATGTCCTACTTCGAGTTCCAAGAGGAAGGAAACAACGATGAGATCATTGATCTCGTGGACGTCAAGTTAGGGTGTTTCTATGAGCCCTTGGTCACAAATCATCACGGTGAGTTATATGTGTAATATAATATATCATCCTACATGATCAGAACTAATCATTTTTAGTTAGTATTGTTTCTAGGCTTGTACAGATATAGAATGGGAGATATTCTACAAGTGACTGGGTTCTACAATAGATCACCTCAATTTAGGTTTGTACGCAGAAAAAATATGGTTCTAAGCGTCCACGTGGAGACAACAACTGAAGAAGATGTTTTAAAGGCGTTGAGTCGTGCGACACACGTTATTGAATCTTCAGGTTTAATGTTGATGGGGTTCACATGCTATTCTGATATCTCCACTCTCCCAGGTCATTATGTTATTTACTGGGAGCTTAAAGCCAAAAACAATGATGTCACTGTTAAGCTTGATGACAAGCTAATGGTTGAATGTTGTTGCGTGATGGAAGAATCATTCAATGCTCTGTATAGGAGATTAAGGAGTAAGCATGACTCCATTGGGGCTCTAGAGATAAGGGTGATGCAAGAAGGAACGTTCTATTCTCTCATGGAATACTTCATCTCACAGGGTGCTTCGAGGTCTCAATACAAGACACCTATATGCATAAGCTCTCCTCATGTTTTAGCAATTCTCGAAGAAAAAGTTATTTCTCGGTACTTCAGCGACAAAACTCCTCCTCTCTGATCATCATCAGATATGGTCTAGTTCTACCACAATGACCCACAAAAACAACCAGAGCACATAATTGGAGAATAAGGAAGATACAAAGTTATTATGTGAGATTAGCGCTTATTTCTTGTTGAGAAATTGGTGGTTAAGTGTGTGATTTGTGTATTTCATATATGATTTTATCAAGAATAAAGCTCCACTCGTTACAAGATTATTGACACAATATTCATATGAAATATGCTTCTTAAGTTTTTTTTGGAACTGCAAAGAGAATGACAAGGATAGCTAACGAGTGGTGTGGTTTTGGAAATGCCATAGCTAGTGTGCTTCTTAAGTTTTTTTGGCTTTAGTGTTAATTTGATGATGATTAAGTGATTGAGCTAGATGGGTTTAAACAGAAGAGTTTGAGTGCTGCATGGAGATTGAAGTAAAATGTTTACGTTGCATGAGTTATGTACATCTATTTTTAAAAATGTTCATTGACAAATAACAACCGTTTAAATGACTTTTAGCAAAACAAAATATTATCCAGGTCTTTTTTTAAATCGTAAAGTTGGGTCTGTAGAAAGCCCGATCCCCGCACTGGTCTTTCAATTTTAACTTAGAAAGTCTAGTGTACCTTCAATATACGTAAGATTTTCATGCAAGTTGTAATTACAATTTATAATCATATTACTAAATTTCAGAAGGTTATTGATATATCTTTAATTCTTTAACTCAAATTAAGATTTTCACAAGTTTATTAAAGTTATTAAACTTTTGAGTGCATATAAATTTGATATACCCTGTGGGTCGAACCCATGTAGCTGTGGTGGAACCTTTTTGTGTTGTTGACCCATGACCAATGTATGTACTTCTATGGTAAAAGAAACAAAAAAAATGTTTAATGATTCATTTTTTTTTTTTGAAACAAATACATATTACTTTTTCTTGTAGCACAAGAAATAGGTGAAATGTTATGGTGGCTTTCGTGATCGACAAGAGAGAAACTCAAACTAGTTAAAATGTATAAGTAATCTCGCCTTAGTGTTTGGATTTTGATCAACTTGGTTTGATTTTAGAAAATACTTTGATAATTTTATCTAACAGTGATTAGCTCAATTCTGTTACCTCTAAAATTTCCTTCTCTCACGTTAATTCTTCTATTTAACAATAATCCCATACGCAATAGCCACACACATATATATTTTCAATTCAGTGCCAATAGAAAAGTAAGGTTAGGAAATTTTAGAGGTAACAGAATTGAGCTTATCACTGTTAGATAAAATTATCAAAGTACTTAAGCATATCTTGCATGCTTCGGATGATTATTTATGCATGCTTCTTCTTATAAGCCCCCAAAAAACGAGAAGAAGATAAGAATAAGATTCCATGACAACCAGACGTTTTTTTTAATCTTATATTTATTATAAAAATGAATCATTACATTATATGATGACGTGGCTACATAAGATTGGCGTAAAATCTATCTTCACCAGATTTGGACAGGAAATATAGATATAACTCAGCGAGAACTCATTTTTTGTTGTCAAAATTGTCAAGTAAAGAGAAGTGTGAATCCAAAAAAAATGTGGTGCGCAAGTTATCATCAGCCATTACCCACCAGTTCCGGCGTCTTGAATCGGGAAACAAAGCAAAAACAGAGGCTGAGAAGAAATCAAGTGTTCTTTTTCTTATCTTCATCTCCTTCAAGCTCAAGAGAACATCAATGGCAAACCAGTAATTATCCCAAATTTGGGCTCAGATTAAAACCAAAAGCTAGTGTAGTGCCTCCTTCTGAATCTGGTGATATCACTACCTTCCTCCTCGTAAGGTATCTCTCCACTCTCCATACTATTCTTTTTTTTTTCTTTTTAATTTAACTGGAGCAAGTAAATTTTAAAATAGTTATTTGTGTTGATTTATTTGCTAATTGCAGTGTAGCAATGATCTCTATGTATTTGGTTGCGAATTTTGTGGTTCCATCGTTGCTTTTCAAGTCATTGCAAGGCGAAGAAGAGGAAGATTCCGATTCAACTTAAGCTCAACTGATTTGAAGTTTTGATTTTTTTTTTCGATTAAATTTCTTCTATCTTCTTATGCAAACTTTTTAATATAAGCTCCTTTCATCCAGTTTCTGCATTTAATTTTGTAACATCTAGCCATTTAAACATATATCTTCATAAAATAATAATTATACACATCATTAAATCATTACAATTTTTTCCTGATTTTTTTTTTGGTTTATCTGAATAACCTAGTTTCCTAACTAAGAAACAACTTACAAATTTTCACATGAATTATAAATGTTGAAAAGAACAAAAATATAATAATACTTATTCTATACAGCCCCGGCGGGAGGGGCCATGGTCATGGGTTCAATATTTTAAGGAACCATTTTTTTATATTGTATAATTTGATTGAAAATGTGTTCTTTTAACACATTTACAAATATGTATAACTAATTCTTACATAAAAAGATTCATGATCTATTTAATTAAAAATAAGGGATCATAATCTAGTTATACATAAGTTGTTATCTTTTTTCTAGAGATGATTCAACAATACAACAATCATCTCAATTATTTAAAATTACAAAGAGTTTGACGATCAGATCAATGTTGCAACACATGTTGAATGGTCTTACAGTTTTATGTATTGAAATTCTCTTTTTTGAAAACTATAGATTTTGCATCAACAAAAATTAGAAAAAACGTTTATACAATCTTTTACCTTTTTAAAAAAAAATTGTAGTTAATTCTCCTACATTTTTTAGGTCTGGTGAATCTTTTAATGTAATTTAGAGGAATGATGCATTTGAATGAAAAGTAAAATAATATGCCAAAATTTTTTATAACAAACTAGTTATTTATACTTTTTTCAACAAGTTAACAATTCACTTTACATTTTAAAATATCAAAGATTTATGATTTGGTTTATTTTGATTAATACAATTATTAAAATTTTATTATAATTTATTAATATAATATAAAAGGATCGATGTTTTATATTTCGCATACAAAAGACTCTTAAAATTGTTAATATGGGGCTGCTTCTACACATACAAACCATCAAAGTCATATTTATTAAGATTGTGGCTTCTCAGACCTTTTAAGAACACAGACACCACCTTCGCATGAACTCTCATTTGAAGATGGCTTCGAGAAACAACTAAAAAGCTTCGATAAAAAGCACATCTTTCTTGAAATAAACTAAATATCTGAAAAAACAATATTGGCGCTGATGAACTTGTAAGGATCTTTAGACTTTAGGTGCTATACCTCTTCTATTGGCATGTTCATGCATATATATAGCCAGGCCGGCTCAAAAATATATATATTTTTTTTTTTGGTAGATGGCTCAAAAATATGTTGGGTCATGTACGGATGTACCCAAAATCCAATTGGGTCTCTACTACTTGAAAAAAGAAATTAGATTTTTAAATAGGTATGAAATTTGATGCAAATGCACACACACACACCTCCAATGGTTAAATATCCATGGAGTCTCTTACTTTCATAATAATAATATTATTAGTATAATTTACTATGAGATATTTACTTTAAATTAACTCATTAATAAAACAAAAAAGATATTTACTTTAAATTTTGATCTCCATTGGTGAGATTCTCTATAAATTTCACATTTATATAATATTAATATGTTTTAGTTTAATTTTATATTTAAATGTTGTTTTGAAAATTATTTCTTGGATTAGAGAACTTCTCATTAATATTTTTTAAAACCATATCAAATTACATTTTAAATATATTAATGCATTTCATAACAATATTAATAGTGCAATACATTATAAATAATATGATTAAAGAGTTAAGTGCTCTTAAATAACACAAATTACACAAAATAATTCTATAAAAAAACTAAACTTAAAATGCTAGAAAACATAAATAACATATACAATAATGATCAAAGATATAACTAACTTAAGTATTTCTAATATTTACTTGAAGAATATACATATCAAAGCATATAACTTTAAGTTTAGTTTATCTACTTAATAATTATATATGACTAGAGAACATGTCAAAAATTTAATTTTAAATTTTTTCAAATCTTAGATTTGTTTCTGAAAATTTTGATACTACATCTATTAAATAGAACATTACAAATTTAGTATTATTGTATGTGTTAATATCAAATTAAATAATATTAGTATCTAACATATCAAATTAAATTTTAAATAGATTTAAATATATCAAATAACATCTTAAAACATTCATAGTAATATTAGTAAAAAAATAAATTATAGATAACATAATCTAAAAACTCCATTCTCTTAAGTAACACAATTAAACATGAAAATCACATAGTCTAGATTTATAAAATTTTAACTAATAAATTAGAAAAATTAATATTATAATTTAAAATTATGCAAAATGGAACTTGATAAATATTCAGTTTTATTGTATAATTTATAAAAAAAAAATTAATAGTAATATATGAGGGTATGATGGTCATTGTCGCGAGAACATGGGATCTAAGTGGGAGTAGTTTGATTATTGTCTTTCTAGAGACCGTTGACGAAGAATCGCCGAATCGGACTTGTTCCACGCGCTCACCACACTCCCCTCGTATAAATTTCGATTCCATCGGAGACGAACCATCTCTGTAAATCGATCCCCAGAAATCAAAACCCATCTCGCGAAACCAACAAACAAACAAAAAATGCACGATTTCTGCTTCACTATCCCGTACGGGATGCTTCTGATGGTCGGAGGATTTATCGGGTATTTGAAGAAAGGGAGCATCGCATCTCTCGCCGGAGGTGCAGGCACTGGATTGCTCGTCGTTCTCGCCGGTTTCATCAGCCTTAAGGCTTTCGAGAAGAAGAAGACGTCGTCTCTCGCTACCGTTCTCGAGACAGGTTTGGTGATTTTCGCTTCATCTCTCTCTCTCTCTCTGCTTAGTTTTCAGCTGTCTTGGATTTAATTTCGATAGATGATATATGTTTAAGAAACGATTGTGATATTGTGCCATTTGGAATTCGAGATCTAATAACTTGTGTTCGTTGATTAGTATTCCAAAAGAAAAAAAAGTGGTGACTTTCAACATTGGAACGAATTTAGGTGGCTTTGCTTATAATCTGGGGAAGAAAATGGCTTGAGTTCATATATTGATTGGCTTTTGTGTTTCGATTCAAGAACTTGTTTTCCAATATTATGATAATTAGGGTTTGCGTGAGGCTGATTATGATCTTAAAGATGAAAGCTGGTTCCATGGATCTTGGGACTATAGTGGATTTCAATTGAAAAGTGTTTTCAGATGCTAAGAATTTGGGTATGAACAATGGGAATGTGCATATCTTATTGGAGTTTAAAAGACTGAATCTAAGTGTATTGGTGTCAAGTAATGCATGAAACAGGACCAACCCAAAAGAACATCACAAGACCTTACATAGTTTCTTTGATTAGCTTTTCTTCTCTTTCAAGAATTTGCGGTGACTGAGGAAACTCATATGCCTGTCTTGTTTATAAACAGTCATCGCAGCTGCTCTCACACTCGTCATGGGACAACGGTTCTTGCAAACTCAAAAGATTATGCCGGCTGGTTTGGTTGCTGGGATCAGGTGAATCATCTTTGCTTGCATCAAAAGGTTTAGGCTTTTAATGGCTCTCTCAATTGAATTTAACCAATTGTCTGTATTGCAGTGCCCTCATGACTTGTTTCTACGTATACAAGATCGCAACTGGCGGAAACCACATACCACCGAAAGCTGAATGATGTTTATACACTCTGGTTTTGCCAATGGAGTCACAGAATCTCTCTTCCATTGTTGAAATAAGGTATATGAATTTGTCGATTTGGAAATATGTATGGCGTAGACAATGTTGTTGTGGTTTACACCTTAGACGAACATCGTTTATTATGTCTCTGAGATTTTAGTTCCTACTGTAACCATGAATCGCTTTAATATATCTTGTTTTCTTGGTATTTATATATGATGATGAGATTACACAGTTAAGATTGATCTTTTATATTCTAATTGGATTTTACTGCCCAAAACAACAATGAAGATCAAACGAGTTGCTGCTATTTTGCTCTCTGTTTCATGGCTCTCATTGCTTTCAAGTTTCAACCATGCCACATTTCTTTCAGCCTTCACCTTGTGAAAACTCTTTATATAGGACTCATTACATGTTCATTGGATTTCATAGTTTCTTCGCTTTCGAGGCCATTATCATGAAACAAACAATAGATCCATATCCTACAGAAATGTGGATGTTTGAGTCATCAGATGAGCTCAGAACCATACTCTTGTACGCTTTACTTGTTTCATCTCCATTAGCGCCTCCAGAAGCAAGCTTTTGACGAGGGCTTAATTCATTGTTGTCTGCCTTGAAGGCTGGATCAAGCTTTCTGAGCTCGCCCTTTCTCCAGCTATGGCACCATCTCTATGCAGAACACACTGGCTCATAAATGTCATGATCGACCATAGTCATCTTCTCTACATTGGGTTCCACATACATCAAGCTCATTATCACAGGATTCCATTGTCCCTGGTCTGGTGGTGATACAACAATGTCTATTGCTCCATCAAAACCAACAGGAGGATCTGAAGAATTGGTTTCATCTTATAGTCTTTGCTTCCCGTTTCTTCATTCCGTTGCCTCATTCCTTCGTCTCCATCAGATTTTACCTGAAGCAAGCTTTTGGTGAGGGCCTGAATCATTGTTATCCGACTATATAGTCTACTTTCTTTTAACAAGAGGCTCAGAAGCATCTCCTCCACTATTCGTTACATGAGTATACTTCTTCTATTTGTCTCATTATTTGAGCAATGTCGAGGCTATTATCTTCTTCATCTTGTCTCATGCAACCTGTGTCCTGGACAATCGAACCTGAATGGACTTTTATTGACCAAACAGAATCTGATTCAAAAAAAAATTTAAACAAAAACCATGACTAAGTTTCTTGCTTTAGAATTGGCAACTATTGAGATAATGTGGCCTCTCAAAGTTTCTCTGCACCTAATTCGAAAGATGATGTGTCTAACTAAGTGCTCTACATATTCAAAAGAGTAAAAGAGATAACACCAAAAGATTGATAAGTTTCCAGATCAGTAAAGTTTTCAAGAGGTTTAGTTTACAACAATGTCAGTTTACCAATCCTCTTGAAAAGTTTCAGATCAGTAAAGTTCAGTGTAGACCCAAACTAGCTAAGCGTAGACTTCATTTTTGATCATCTGGTTTCCTCTGCTTTTCCATTCTCTGATCTCTGCCAAAGTCTTCTCCATATTCATAATACGTGCCTCCAGATCCAACTCTTTCTCCTTTATTGCAATCTTTCTCTGTTTCAATCTCTCAAAAATATCTTCTTTTCTTTTCTCAAAGCATCTATCCTTTTCTTCATATTCATGAAGCCAACATGTTGCTCTCTTGGATCCGTCATCGATCATACTCTTCTCCTCTTCAGTATTTCCATTTACATCAACCTCATCGTCAAAAATCTGCATTTTCTTTTGTGCTGTGCCTTCAGTTTCATCATCATCTTCATCCTTTTGCTCTAATTTTACTGAAGCAAGCTTTTGACAAGACCCTGAATCATCATCACTATCCAGCACCTGAAATTTTCTTCTTCTTTTTGCAAGTTGTTCAAAAGCATCTCCTCCAGTATTCTCTGCATCACTATCATACATCTTCTTAGAACAGATCCTTCGAGCAATGGTTATGTATTCATCTTCTTCATCCATATATATCTGATCATCATCCTCATGAGCTCGCTTCATCTGCACGGATTGGTAATTGCTTCTCCTGTTTTTCAAACCCTCACTTGTCTTGTCCATCTTCCAACTTGAAGACACCAACGCACCTGTCTTGTCTTTCTTTGCTAGTCTACTCATCCTAGATCTTCTGCATTTTGCAGGAAAGCCTTCTTCCAACTTCTCAACCACATGACACAAAGGCAATACCTTGGGAGACACATCATCATCATCATCATCATCATCATCATCAAACGTGTTCCTTGCATTCAAAGTTTTAGTTGATTCTATCTGCATATCTTCAGAACTCAGATACTCAGAAACTGATCTCATCCACCAGTCTTTGTACCTTGCAGTTACAGAACCCTGAGCAAGGCGAGAAGGCATGTACAGCTTCAAACCATCAAGAGGCTTGTTGTAATCATCCCAAGCCTCCTTTTCTGTGAAGTTGCTATGACGAGGCACAAACGCAGGCAGATCCTGAGCCAAACCGAACTGCATCGCCACTCGGTTCGGATAGTAGCTCTCAGCAAAACCATCTCCAACAAGGTGAGAAACTCTGACACAACGAGCAAAAGAAGCAAACTCATCATCAAGAGAGTCTTCAACAGTCACCCAAATAGCTTCATCAACGTAAAACCGAAGAGGGTTCCAGTTTTTCAAAGGCTTAGTGTAAGGACGCCAGTCAAAATCATCAAAACTCCATCTCACATTTGCAGACCTCTGTTGCAGGCTGTCCCACTGAGCTATTCTTGGTTCGCCTTTGGGTATCTCTCTAGGTTCTGGTCTCGTGTCTTTGAATCTCTCCCAAGTCCATACTTGGACTAACTTAAACAGAGACTTGAGATTAACTCTGCCATCACATTCTTCTCTACCAAAACCACTGACTCGATCCAAATCTCTGTATAAACTCGCGAGAACAGCTGGGGCAAGAGCAATCCTTTCACCTCTAGCTAAACGAACTGCCATTGGGATAACATGTCTGGAAATAGAACGACGAGACTTGGCTGGAAAAACATATAACGAAAGCCACATGACCAGAAAAGCTTCATGCTCCCTATGACCACCTCTACCGAAGAAGCTCGACATCCATGGAGTCTGAGTCACACACCCTTTAGCTGTTCTATAATGCATAAGCCTCACTTTCTCAAGTTTCTCCGCCGAATCTCTCGTCTCCGAGGTTTCTAGAGGAGCAAAAACAGGAGAGCCCAAAACAGAGAACCCTAGAAGCACCATCACATCCTCCAAAGTTATCGTTGCTTCACCCCAAGGGAAGACGAATGATTTGGTTCCGGGACACCATTTCTCAGCAACAGAGCAAATCAGAGTCAGGTTTTTGGTGATAGTGTATGTAGAAGCCTTGATTGCTTCAAAGATCCCAGCTTTTTTCCAAATGGGTTCGTGCAAAGCTTCCATTTTCCGAGCCAAGATACGAAATGTCGCTCTGCAACCCAAAACCCAGAGAAGGAATCCCGCGAAGGCAAGCGCTTTACTAATTCCGAAGAAGAAACAGAGAGACGTTCACGGGGAAGCTCGGCTACACCAGAGCAGCCATTGTCGGAGGCAACGAAGGGTTTCAAGAAATGGGTTTTTCTCAAGCTGTGGCCTTTTTCAGAAACCATGACGCTTTCTCTCTCTTCAATGAGAAATTTCTCAGTGTGTTGTGATGACGACGATGCCTTCGACATCTCCTCAAGACGATGGAGAAGATGAAGCAAGAGAAAAATTAGGGATTTTGAAAGTCCGAAACGGGGATTACACTGATCCAGAGTGCTATGAATGGTAAAAGCAAGAAGCGGTCTTTGTAGAAGGAGGTATGGGCAGAGAAAATCGTACAGACTGAACGTAGACAGTTGCTTTACTGATAAACACTTTTTCCTAATATATAAGTTGAATTGTTGACTTTACTGATAAACAATTAACTACAATTTTCTTCCCACATTAAAATAAATGAAAATAAATGTTGTGTTTTTTTTGTTTTCTAAAATAAATTTTCTTAAGCTTTTATTTATTTATTTACTATCTAGCGATGACAACATTTCAAATTTTAAGAAAAATTTATTAATACTATGTGAATTACTAATAATTTAGAGTTATAGAAATTGTTTATGTTGTTAGGTAGCGATTTTATTTGTGTTACGCTGAAATTCTGTAAATTTATCTCAGTTAATCTGTAAAATTGATAATAAATTATGAAATTTACAACTTAAACATTGTGATGTATTAATGAATCCTTAATCAACCATTGAACTATGTAAGCTTCCACAATAGTATAAATTAGGAATTAGGAGTGTGTACATATTAAATTGACTAAACAAAAAATATGTACACAAAATTTGGGGGGGGGGGGAATTTTTTTGAGAAATGTCTCAAAACTAAAAAATGCATGAAGATCCTAAATTCTCCGCTACTGAAGCCATTTTCATATCCACTCATGCATGAGTCAATGTCTTTTTTTTTGCTATATAATTAAATAAATCTTTAGGCAGGCATATAATTAATAACATCTTTCTAACCAAAGTTGGATTAAAATAACACTTTTAAAGCTGCATACTGAAAAAACAGCATAAACCATTCATAATTTACATACCATTAAATAATATATTTTGTATACCCAAAATACAGTTAAAAAGAAAACTGTTGGTTTTAATTATTATTTTCAATTTCACTTTATACAGTACATCTTCTATAAGGTAATAATCTAAAAAAAATTATTCTTATACATATATTAATTAATCAAAAATTAATATATAATAATGTATAGAAAGAGCATTTTTTGTCCATAATTTTATATACGAGTTTTCTAAATTAATATTCAAGAGTCTTCTAAATTCTGAATCATATATACATAAGTTTATATAGTTATTAGTTTATAATATTATTAGTACGATATATTTACATAAAAATTTCTAAAACAATTATTATATCTTACTGAATTATCAAAATTGTGCTAAATTTTATATTATTCTAACTTGAAAATTTAAAATATATTATCTTATCGTATTTATTAATTTGTTGAATATTAATTTATAGAAATAGCTGAACTTAATTATTAAAATGAACTTTGGGTTAGCCAGTTTGTTCGTTTGTGTGTGTGTGATTGTTCACTTTTGTTAATTATTAGACCATCTCTATCGAAGATTTTTAAACACAATCTCTTAAAAAAATATAAATAAAATAATAAAAACTAAGATCGAAGTATTAAAAGCGATTCTGTTTTAACAAACGTTCTTAACCATTTTAACAAACCCTTCTACATGTGCCATTTTATAATTGGTTTAAATCTTTTTTATAATTTAAAAATGAATATATTTTTTGTTAGATAATCTCACATAGTTTTAACCGCTAGAGATGCTCTTATAGTTTGGGTTCATTTTTTCTTTCCACATATCTTGATTTGACCTAATGTATAGTAAATAAAGTATAATACAAACTGATGCATCTTTATTTATTAGAGGAATTTAATTTTGTTTAGTACATTTGCATTAGGTATAATTAAGAAGCTCCTTATATATCTATGGAGCAAGTAGAAAGAGTGGGATATGATGAAGATGATGATCTTGATGATGGGGATAAAGTGTTTCATGCATCTGAGTGCTTCTTGGTTTGGGAGGAGAGGCTCGAGCGGAGGAAATCTTGTGTGCCAGGGTTTTCAGTGGTCACGTTAATGAACTTCTGGTACCATTTGCCAGAATCTTTGAGGTTTCTGTCATAGAGGTCTGTCCAGTTAACGTAGCTGAGTCCGAATCTAACCGTAAAGCCTTGGCCGAATTCATAGTTATCTCCAAGAGACCAGGCAAAATATCCTTTCACGTTGACACCTCTCTCCCTGAGAAAAGGAACAAATATTATACAATTGGTGATGATCATACGTTACGTACATGTATGCTAGTATGTAGAAAGAAAGAGTATATATAGTACTAAGTAGTAGTATCCACTCACTTGATGACCTTACGAAGAAAACAGAGATGGCTGCAGAGATAATCAATCCGCTTCGAATCAGCAACGGTCTCCTCACGGGTTTCTTCACTGCGGCTACTTAATCCTAATTAGTATATGAAACCGTTAAAACATGATCAGCACATTAGTTTTTGACATACACTTAATTAATTAGCATATAAAAAAAGATGAGTAGAAGAACTCACCGTTCTCGGTGACATATATTATAGGGTTATTAGAAATGTTTTTGAAGTAGTCCATTACGTAATAAATTCCTCTTGGGTAGTAATAGGCGTTTTTGGTTTCATCGTCTTTGTTTAAACTGAACTGAGAAACGAAAGCAAAATTATATAAAAAAGCAGAAGAATCTTAGTTTTGTTTCCAAACAAAAAAAAATGAATGAAAGACTAGGGGTGGTCATGCATATTATATACCAGTGGGCCAATTACTTCACCGCGTGAATTTTTATCTGTAAACGAACAAAGGATGAACAATAATTGATTGGTCACATATATATATATATATATATATATATATATATATATGTTGTAATAAAAAAGGAGATGTATAAAACTAAAGGGTACATGTGAGTTTTGCTCGTGCGTCCATCAAGGCATTGTGTTCTGGCGAAGTAAATGGGTTATCAGCTGGCTGGGCGTACTGAGTGAAGTAATAGTTGAGACCAAGAAAATCATATGAACCCTTTACGAGTTCCTTTTCGTAATCCGAGAACTCGGGAAGCCGTTCTCCCACAGTGTCTATCATGATTTGTGGGTACGTACCATTTACTAATGGCCCCATGAACCTGATGTATATGATTCATCAGTTTGTATACTAATGTAATTCATGATTTAATAAACATATGTATATATAGATACCATCCGAAGAAGAACTCTTTCATCCTCTCAGCCGCGTCTATGCAGTCTTGATCAGTCTCATCATATGGAAGAAACCATCTAGTTATCATCACAGGTCCGATCTTCCCTCCTTGATGCTGTTTGTTGGTCACGATGAATTTAGAATCAGATAATGTTTGGTTACAACTTTGTACCAAAAGGACCAAGTACTCACCGAATAGTTTTTCCTGTAAAGATCGACCACCGTGGCATGAGCAAGAAGCTGGTTATGTGCAACGATATAGGGTTCTGTTGAAGAGTTTCCAGCGTAACATCGTTCATCAATCGCAGGAGAACATCGACCAGGTGCATCTGTTCCCAAAGCATAGCCTCTCGTCGGCACTGTGAATAGCTGGTTGATCGTGATCCAGTGCTTTACCTTTCCACCAAATTCGCGGAAACATAGATCCGCGTAATCTTTGAAATCATCTCTGTGCATATTATACAATCATGTATGTCATTTTTGTTTTTAATATCTATATGTTTCTTTCTTCATAACTAAGAAGCATGGCACAAAAATGACATACATGATTGAGCGGTTCAAGAAACCTTCATACTCATCTTGCAGTGTTTGAGGAAGGTCCCAGTGAAAGAGGGTCACGAAAGGCTCTATGTTCTTTTCTTTGAGGCCATCTAAGAGTTTGTGGTAGTAATCAAGACCTCCTTGGTTCACTCCCCTACTCACCTTTCCTCCTGCTCGCTCATATATAATTTTAGTCTTCCGAACAATATCACAATCAAAACACGACTGATAATGTGTGTACATACCTGGAATGATTCTTGACCACGCGAAGGAGAATCTGTAGCCTGTTGCATTGAGTTCGTCCATCACGTCTATATCTTTCTGCATAATGTATTTGTACGTAATTAAAAATACATTACTATGAATGTATATCTATAATTATATATATATACTAAGGGATTAACCTGCCATCTCGTATATGACTCGCTAGTAGTGTCTCCATTCGACAAATCTGGTCCTGCTTTCTCTGATAGTAATTACAAAGACATTACTTATTAATTACTATGAATGTATATATTATATATATATAACTCACATTCCTCTCATATAAATATATGTGTGACCATGCAACGACGACATACCTGGGTATCGGTGAGTGAATTGATCCCAAACGTTATAACCACGACCTCTGCCTCCTTCGATCTGAAATGAAATGAAACAAAGAAACCATGCAACGTTGGGTTTTATTGTTATGGAATGGTTTGTATAAACGTCAGAACCAACACAATGTATATCTAATAATGAGTGATTTGTCACATGCCTGGTAAGCAGAAGATGCAACCCCGAAGATTAAGTCTTCATCGAAGGTTTTACTGTTGAAAGTCTGAGGGTCGCTGCATTTGAATGGCTCGTTCTCGTCGCAAGTAATCTCGTCGGCAGCTTTGCAAATCGCCACAGCTAATAGAAAAACTAGGGCGAGTCCATGAAGCTTGTTCATGATTATTAGTCAGTAGAGATGTATATGTGTTTGTGTTGTATAGAACCTTGTGCGTATCTAGGGTTTATATAGCCCTTGTAAAGAAGAGTGACGTATCCATAATCCATATCCATGTGGGAGAGATCTACGTGAGATGAACCCCGTGTGGGTTCACCGCGATTTTGGTTATATTTGTTTTTTTGCCTCCACTTTTTAGAGTAGCATGCTGTTCAAATATCTAACTCGTCAGGATTCCAAGATAATAGATCACAAGTTTATATGATGGATTTCTATATCTGTTAACAAGTTAAAGAGAGAAAATTCACAAATCTCACAACTGTTAAATGACTGAGATAAAGAAAAACTGATCAAAGTAATTATCTGTTGTCATTTTCTTGTTATCATCACTTGTATATTCTTGTTTCGTCGGCAGTGATGCAATCTAGTATTTATCGAAGGTTTGCGCAAACGATGTATATATGAACTTTCAAAGCCTCTTAAGTTGAACTTTTGGAGTTAGAATTGACGCCATAAAATTATTAAAAAGGTCTATAGAAATATTATCAAAATGTTCAAGTATATCGATGCCTTGGTGAAGAAGAAGAAGAAGAAAAACAAACTAATTACAATATTGATCCAAAGCCACCGTAACACGAGTCTCACCGCTCACAAATCAAAGCATATTTTATTGATTTTGGAAAAAAACGATAAGATAATATATTTTAAAATTTATAAGGCAAAAACAAAAAGCAGCCAATAAAATTTGTTTTTTAGCTAGTCGTCACTACATATTGGGAGTGACACAAACATAAAACGGTTTGATAAAAATAGAAACAAACATAAACAAATTTATTGGCTATTCATATAAAAATAGAAAAATCAGCTTGATTAATCTTTAAAAAAAAAGAGACACAAACATAAAACAATTTGGATTTACCCTTCTTACACTGTAGAGAGTTTATATTTTCTGGTATCATATTTGAAGTGATGTTTATTTATTATTGAGGATGTTAAGAGTATTGTTGAACCAGAAAATCATCATTAGGGTTTTGATTTTCGGTTGTGGGTTTTAGAAAATATTAAATTGGAGCTCAGAGATTAGGTTATCGAAAAGATGAACTACTTGAAATTTTTATCAAGTTATAGCTGGACCTCTAAGAAAGACTGCCTACATACCCTTGCAAAAGGATCAAGCCATTCGTAGTTTGCTTGCAAGGTGTTTAGATAGAAAAAATCTATAAAAAATTAGATCTTCTTTCTAGATTATGAATTTTTCGGTGGTTGCTTTAGATCGGATTTTCATCCCGTTTTCTGATTATCTTCAACTTATGAGAAGCTCCCTATTTATAAGAAGACGAAGTCGGTTTCTTTGACCTCGTTTCCCTTTCTTGTTTAGGAATATTTCTCCTTTTCCGTTTAGGAAAACTTCTTATTTTCCTTATTCTTTGGAGATTTACCATTATCTTCAAAGAATCTTCTTTAATCCACAAGTCAGTGTGATTTTCCTTATCTCGATGAGCTTAGGTTATTGCTAGAGAAAACCTTTTAGGAAATGTGTTTATTTCCCCTATAACAGTAAGCCCCCCCCATTCGGCGAGACTGATTGTAAATCAGGTCGACGGACTTCATGAAGTAAAATTGGTTTGATCTTGCAATAAGCGTCAGCTCGTCGAGAGTGTTTTCCATAATTCGAGCTTGGCCTGTTAAGGATAATTCTTTAAAAAGTCATTTCTGGTTTTGATTTACATCGCACTTCGGCGACCTTGATTTCACGTCGCACTTCGGCGCTTTTGATTCACATTGCACTTCGGCGAATGCAGAGTATTGCGTTTTATTGGATGTCTGAGATGCCAAAATTTCTATCTTCAACGAAGATTTCTTTCTTGTTATGCATCGCTGCTTCAGTGAGAATGCTTTTATTGCATTGAAATTTATGCAACTGGTTTAGGTAGACCAGATAAATTGCTAAATAGATCAGACGAAGTGATAAATTTATCTATTCGGCTTAGAGAAATCAATCAGTTGAAGTGATGTTGCAAAGATATGCAAAGTAATGCTTTTCAAAGCGTATAATGGTCTTTCGAAGGCATAATGCTTAAACGCTCGTTGATGAGGCGATCCTTAACTTCGAAGGATTTGCGAAGTCGATTTTTTGACTTGCGATGCGGAGGCATTCTTTAGGCCGGTGCTGGAGGCGAGATTCATTTGCTCATCTTATACAAAATGACAACGAGATCGAATACCAAGCTTTCAGGATTCACTTCGGTCCGAAAGATATGATCAAAGGTCGTGCGAATATTGTCCTCGACTTTCATCTTATCCACTTCGGAAGTACTTAAATCAGACCAAAGTATCAAACGAGTGGTGATCAGCCACATAATTTATTTGCGTTTTTAAAATCAAATGTTTGGCCTGAATGTTGACTATTAAATGCATTCACATAGAATAGCTTTGCTGCAGAAGAACTCTTGCCGAGTTGAAGACGCTTTTCCAACGCCGAGTAGTAAAGCAATGTTTTTGAACTTGTACTGAAAAGAAGCTAGAGTAACCATGATTTTTAAAAGAATATACAGTGTATATAAAAACTTATCTTGATATAATGTTGTCACAGCCGGGTTGACGTTGCTAAAGATTAGCTTTCTAGTTGAAGATGCGATTATTGTGAGTCTTTTGTTGTTGCTATTATGCAGCATATATGACCACATCGTCTTTTGTCATAACGAGGGTGGAGTTCGGCTTATTTTCCCTGGTGCTTTTGGGAGCCCATGTACGAGCTGGTGTTGTTGACTTGCTTTTGCATAATGTTTTGATGAGAAATTCATTCCTGGCGGACTCTAGCCGGATCATCTACTTGAAAGAGCAAGGGAATCGATCGTTCCATTCTTCTGATTGTGTTTCTTTCATCACAAGTTTGTCACTGTGTTTTTTTTAGAGCTTGAGAACTCCTTTTTTCTTCTATATAGCTTGTAGCTTGGGAGTGGAGAAAGCTAGAGTTTTTCTGAACTTTCCATCTTGGGGTTGCGTTGTTTAATGATTTGCTCAATCTTCTCGTGAATTCAAGCTACTCTTTCTTCTTCCTTTTGAAATTCTGAACTGACGTTGAAGCTTTAAAGCTTGTGGCGCGGTTGGGGCGTTAACCGTGGTGGAACACACACGAGCCTTCCATGTTTGTTTGAAGAAGATGCATTGAAACTGCTTTTTCTTACAGTGATATCATGCCAAATTGCAAGCCGATTAACAGGTCGAATATGCCTCATAATGGGTAACGGAAAGTAGATCATTTTCTGGATCCTTCTGAGTCGTCTGAAAATTGCCTCGAAAAACCTCTTCTCAGAACCTCTTTTTTTTTGTTTCCAAAAATCGCAGGTTTTGATGATTTTTTTGCGAAATTGTAAAGCGATTTATGGATGGAGTTTAATTCCGATTGATGCATCGTAAGCTCCTGAAGATTCTATGCAAAGAGATCTTTCCAAAGATACCTTGAACGAGATCTGAATCTTCTTGGTTATTCGGGAATTCTCCTCGAAAGGTCTTCACTTGTACTGTTGTTCTGGGTTTTAGATTGCAGGTTTTGTAGAGATTTCTTGTCCGAGAAGCAAAGTCTCCAAATGGTTTTTTCTGCTATAACTAGGGTTCCATCTTGCTCTTTTTTGGACTCCTGGGTTTATGATGGTGCTGTTAGTAACTTATTTATACTTATCCGGTGTTTCCTTTGCTTCCGGCCAGTCTCCAAAGTACCCTCCTTTACACTGTTTTTCTTCTTCTTTGATTTTTTTTTTTAAATGCAGAATCTTTTTTTTTTGTATATCTTGAGAACTTGTTGCATTAATTTTCTTCGATCTTGGACGAAGCTTGAGAGCTTTTCCCAGCTCGTTTCTTTTTCCATCTTTCCTTCTCTCCCCACCACGATCATGGTTTTGTGTCAATGGCTTTCTTTAACTTTTTTTTTGTTTGGCAGAGGTTTTGAATTCGTCTCCTTTGCTTTAGTTCTCCTTGATTGATAATTTTGAGCTTTGTAGTGCTCATTCAGCAGAGTTACGTAACTTGTCGCCGTTGTGATTCATATAAACCATGCTCGATTTAGGGGAGTGGAAGCTCGTTTGTTGCGCTGGTTGCATGATAGAGCGGAAGCACAAAAGAAAAGACTTGTTTCTCAAGTTCCCGAGAAGTTAGAGAAACAAGAATGATCTCTGTTTTCTACACGAAAAGCAGAGGAGAAACTCTGTTTTGCTGCACGAAAAACAGAGGTTTGAGATTTGAAAGAATACGCTTCTTTGCAAAGCTCGATAGATCAAAACAACTCTTTATTAATTCAATTCAATGTCCCTCTTAACAAACCTAGAGGTCTATATATAGATAAGCAAAGCTCTAGATTTAGGAAACATAACTTTAAACGAAAAGGAAAATGCTAATGAAAAGGAAAAACATAAAAAAGGAAAAAGCCAAATCCTTTGTCGAGCGTAAAAGCCAAAACGTGTTCGACAAGGTTAAGATGCGCTGCATCAGGTCTCCCCGGTAGGAGAAGATTCGTCCCTGAATCTGGATCTTCATTGTCGCCATGGTAAGGAAACAAATGCTTAACATTGAAGATGTCGGAGGTACGAATGTGATCAGGAAGGCGAAGTTTGTATGCATTTGCATTGATACGGTGAATGATCTCCACGGGTCCTATTTTTCGAGACTTCAACTTGTTGTATTCATGAGCTGGAAATCTATCTCTTGTTAAGACAACCCATACAAGATCCCCTGGTTGAAAATTCACTTCACGGCGATGTTTATCCACAGCTTGTTTGTAAGAACTTGAGGAAAGACTCCAAATGGTGTTGAGCTTGCTGATGTACTAACTGCAAATTATCGACAAAGTCTACGGCTTGCCCATGGAGTCTTGACTTGTCTGGCATTGTCGTCAAATCCAAAGGTCCACGAGGACTGATTCCATAAACCACATAAAACGGACTGAAACCCAAGCTTCTGTTGCTGGCATGATTATGTTCAAACTCGGCTTGCGGTAATTTAGACTC